GATAAGGAAGAAATGAAAGAAACACAGCCATACATCTATGGTCAAGACTTTCGAGCACAATTGGGGTGATAAGTTGGCAATGTCTGTGGTTATATGTATAAACATTCTGCCTTCCTCCTCCCCACCATGCCGGGGCAGTTTCTATGCCGGAAGCTACATATAGTCTTTGAAGTTAGCCAGACCCCAGCTCAACTTATTACTAAACAGATAACCTTGCTAAGTTATTTAATTTTTAAAAACTCTACCCATCTGCAAAACAGGGCAAATCAAATTGGCTTCATGAACTCATGGAAGAATCAAATTTTTGAAATATATGCATCTATAATTTATGTATATTTCTCTAAACACATCTCTATCTATCTATCTATCTATCTATCTATCTATCTATCTATCTATCTATCATCTATCTATTGTGCTAGAAATGACCTAGAATACACTTTTAAAATTTAGCTTTCATTCATACCTAGGGTACTAAACTAAAATGATCTTAGTTAAAATGTTGAAAGACTGCAAAAATATTGTAACATACCATGAAAGTCTACAATCAGAGATTGGATCGAGTGCTGGAGCAAATGTTCTGCTTCCTGAGACACTTAATAAAGAAAATCTAGTAATAATTTGTACTATATTCAACTCCACAATAGTAGATGGCTGAAGTACTGCTCAAGTTAAAGGACTGACTCAATTTTGATTATTGGCATAAATCACAGTATTTGTGAAATTCAGACATTTTTGCACAGTAGCTGCAATTCTTTTTTAAAATGTACTAATGAGCATGAAAGGGAAAAAAGACAGTTCTTGGATAATTAGCTGTTGTTTGAAAGCATGGGATGAACTCAGGCATAAGTGACTGCTGATCGTCTAGCCCCAGGGTAGACTGCCCATCTTATTGGTTACATGACTCAAATAAAGACAGTGCCAGTTAGTTTTGGTATCAATTTTGAGCAGCCTTTGGAGCAATGCCTGTGTGCAACTGAGAGACAAAGAACACAGTCTTTAATTAGCACAAGCTCTGGTTTTTTTAAACATCTCATTTGTCCAGCAAAATACTAATACGCAAAAAAATGCTTAAATAATAATTATTTCTGAAACCAGATCTGTTGACTAAGCTTGACTTTTAAAGAAAATCATTTTCTAACATTTAATTTTCCCCTTTAATTAAAAAAGAAGGTATCATTTTAGTGCAAGTTGTTTTTCTTAAACACATTAACAGGAAAGTCTTAAAAGGAAAATAAAACCAAAAAAACCTGAGGAGACCTTTGCTCTCTTTTTCAAGGTCTTGACTAAGTCCTTAAAATTCTGGAAACATAAAGTTCTCTATTCTGGTTCAAGAACGATTTGGGGGTATTTTGTGCATGAATAGACAATGAAGTAATTAAATTACAAAGGCAGCATCTTGCTTTTATGTTATAAGAATAATTTTCTATACTGCAGCCATTTTCTCCTTGAATAACCTTTTGTTTCTGTCTGAAAATCTTGAAACACAGTCTGGTTTAATTGTTTTTCCACTCATTAGGGTGCTGCTGGTAGTACAGAAGGTTCAGCCACGTGTTCAAGCTAACGAAGGATTCAATACCCTCCAGAAGTCTGTTAAACACCTGCTTAACACTCTGGATTCCCCAGCTCAAGGTACTATATTTCCTGCCTACTGTATTAAACTCAGCGTCACAAAGCCCATCAAAAACAAAAGTCAGTGGGACTGAAACAATCAGGTATAATTGGTGTTATTCTTGGGTGGGGATAAACACTCTCTGTAAATCTATGTCTCCAGTTGAGATGTGGGAAAAGGAGGCAATGGTTAAAAAGAGGGTGTGCATTCCTAGGGTTTTTCTTTGTGTGAACATGAGATCTCTTAGCTCGAAAAATTAAGTTTATGCTTGGGAGTGAGCCTCAACGAATAGATTTCATAGATTTTTTTTTTTTTTGAAACAAAATCCTAAACTGAGTTGCAAGATTTTTGTTCCCATTTCTAAACTTGATTTAAAAAAAATGTTCTTAACAAACCTCTTGAAAATACATAAATAATAGACCAGTAAAGTTTAGTTCCCCCAGTAAGACAAAGGGTAGCATGTTGCCTGTGAGTCTGAAAATGTCACCTTTAACATTTTGAATATATACAATGTCATTATCTACTGATCACATGGAGGCACTCAGGTGTCTATGCAGACACATCCACACACAGGTTTGGAACTCTGAGAATAAATCCCCACTTCCCAAGTAAACACATAACATTTACCTCTTCTTAGTGAATTTAGAATTATGCTTTCTTTTCTAAGTTTGTTAGTTTTTTTTAGCTATGTAGACTTTTACTTTGGGATTATAAAGTCAGCATTCTGAGGGTGTGAATTGAAAAGCTGACTTCCCATTATGTCTCAATTTGCCAGTTTCTATGTGAAAAGCAGGCTTGAGAAGTCTTTGAAGAATTCTTACTGGAGCATCCAATGCACTCTTAGATGTCAGATTCTGTTGGTCAAGAGCTTTTTAGATCTACAGTTATAGAATCAGTGACTAGCTTCCAAGATTGATTGCCCTTAAGTTTATCTTGATCAACATCAGAAGAGATTTCCTTTTCTAAAAGTCCTGGCCACAAGACCAGTCAGTGTGTGAACAAACTAATTATTTCTTCTGTGCTTTTTTCATATTTACATTTTAACGGCTTAAGAACTTCACATTTTTCCTAACCATTCTTTTCATCTTCAGACTTACACCTTTTAATTAATATGAAGCAAAGTGATAAAGTTAAGACTTTTTCCCCCAAAGGAAAAAAGCTTATCTGTGCCTTAAAATCCAAAAAAGTAAACAGTACTTCTTAATAACTAGACAGTAAAACCCTTTTCCTGGTGAATGGCATAATTCAGTTACTGTATTTTCATATTTAACAATGGCCATGATTTATGTCTATGACTGCACTGATGACCTTAACAAGTATTAAAGCATGCCATTGGATGGTCAAGGAACAAGGAAATACAACCAGAAATGGTAATTTTACCTACAAATTTTCATGGGCCTAATTCTTCTTTATTATTGAAGTTATGCACTTGGGACTTCACCAGACTGAAGGTAGCAATGCTACTAATTCATGTCTATTTCCACTAGTCATTAATTCCATGCCTTTACTTGCTTGAACAGAAATTAATAGCCTTTGAAAAATTGCTATAGGTATTTCTGGGAATCTGTCAGGAAACTCAAGCTTGAACCAGTAATTCCAATTCAACTACACAAGAGTCTCTGGATACAAGTACGGACCCGTCATGTTGGCTGGGTCACCCAGTGCTTCATCTCCGTGCTTTTCCACTTAGGGAGTAGTATCTCATGGGCTGCCTTGCTTCTTGGCCCATTAGGTCTCACAGCAACACTCTTCAAAATGAGGAAATAATAGTATTTATTGTGTTAGCTCTAAGTGCTTTATTACCTAAAATTTCTTTTATTATCAAAATAATTCTATGATATTCAGCTATTTTTCCCATTTCACAGCCAAAGAAACTGGACAAAAGGAATGTGAGCATTTCACAGGTGTTAGTCAGCAGGCAAGCAGTCTAAGAGAGCACCCTGGATCTGTCTATCTGTCTAGCTTCCAGACAGGTCCCCTGAGCTCTTTTATAGATGGCAGCACTCATGTTCTCTCTCTCTTGCTCTCTCTCACTCTTGGATAAAAGCACTTGAATCCATAGTTTCTCACTAGGATGTGCTAGTATGGGCTACCACCAGACCCCAGCTCTGTTCCCATCTTCAGCCACTGATGGGATGTAGCTTGACATGTCATACTTCTTCTCACATGACACGTTTTCATAGCCATCCCCTAGCCTTCGATATATCCTGATGTCTATGCACTTCCTGCTCCTCATGGTGCGTCTATGATCCAGCTTGAATTAGGAACACATTTGTGTACCTTCAGAAGCCTCCTCAGCAGCCCTGAAAACAGGGACATACCAACGAATTCTTGGGAAGAAGGTTGTCTAAATTTCCGTTTTAAGGGATTCTATTCATACTCTAGCTGGGATCACTGATTCCCAGGAAATAAGTTTTAGTGGTTCCATTTAGAAAGAGTGAGTTTTAGGAACAGAGGTTGGCTTTGTGAATCATGTGCATTTGCTCTTCTGCAAATTCACAAATTCAACAAGATCACTCAGGGGGCTTGCCATTGAAAAAATCCTTATTGGCTTCTACCCAGAATACCACAGAGATCTTTGCATATCTGTGTTTACTGTTGTGCCATTCACAATGGCTATGGTATACGAACAGGCTAGATGTCCATCAACAGATGAGTGAATAAATAAAATATGACCTAGATACATGATGGTGTTTTCAGATGTAAAAAATATAAGGAAAATGGATACAACTGAGGATCATTATGTTAAGTAAAATAAGCCAGACTCAAAAAGACAAATACCACATGTGCACTCTTAAATGTGGACTCTGCATTTAAATTTGTGAGTGAGTATGTGTGTGTGTGTGTGTAAGTAGAAGAGAGACAATAAGAGTGGAGAGAGTGCTCTAAAGGGAGGGGTGGGAGAATCAGAGAAGGTAATGGAACATGTATATATTGAAAGCAGAGGGGGAGACTAGAGAAGTGGTCCAGCAAGCAGGGGAGAGAGGAGAATGACCCACCAGGTAAGGATGCTTCTGACAAGCATGATGATTTGAGTTCGACTCCTGGAACCCACATAGTGGAAGAAGAGAACTGGCTCCTGTGTTGTCCTCTGACCTCCACACGTGTATCTTGGCATGTTTGAGCCCCATCCCCAAATATATATAAATATAAAAAAAGAAAATGCCACCATGAAAACCACTCCTTGTGTGCTAATCAACATATTAATAATAAAAAAAGTTCAGTAATGAATAAAAGTTATCTAGATGTCTTTTTAAAAAATGCCTAATTCTACAAAAATCAAAGAAATAAAACTTGCTTTTTAAAGATTTTAACATTTTCCAGTTCATTTAGGTCTGTTTAGTAGAGTATTTCTTCCAAAATACGTTATAACCCTGAGTGGCCAGAGGGGAAAACTTCTATTTAACTTCAGAGTCAATTCTCATTGATAACATAAAGTTAATTTCTATTAGTTACCCACTTTAATAGCTTAATGAAAAAGAGAAACTCCATAACCAGAGAGTGTACAAATGCCAATGAAGTTGCCAGGAGCATCACACAGAAGTTCAAAATTGGCATGCTTTGATCTTGGAAACACAGTTCTGCCTACCTTTCCATTGAAAAAGCTAGTCTCAATTCATTTCTAGCCTTGATTATTCAATGTATGGATATCAATAAGTAATAGGTATTACCATTATTAACTAGGTTTATTTATTCTGGGCATCTTCATTGTTGGTCTTTCAACTTGCTGATACATGCTTTATAAGTAGGGCAATGATATTCAATTGCCCTTTGAATGAAACTCAGGAAAATTCACCCCATGGAACGGAAAACTAAAAAGGCCACTCTGACAGTTATTAGAGATCAAGCCAGCTTACAATGAATGATACAGAAGGTGGACACGGTGATTTTATATTCTGAGATACTCTTTATTAATTAAATAAAACAAAGAACACCAAAAGAGTATGGGTGACTGCACAGCTGTGCATCAGGACCTTTTCAGAAAGTTGTCGGATGCACTGTCTAGAAACAAGGAAGGACCATGAAAGTTGATAACATCATCCCACCGAAAGCAATGAGGCCAATGTTAAAAATGATGCACCAAAGCAAGTCTGGCCTGTTTCTAAGACATGAACAGCATCTGAAGAGAAGGATGATGCTATTTTCCTAAAGGAGATGACTTAATGAATTTATAATGTTTTCATTTATGTCACGACCATTTAAAGAATTTTCATGTCCAGTTTTTCATGTGAATCCCATCCCAGCTTTCTCTTTTACTTTTCATCTTATGCACCAAGCCCAATCAGTGACCTTTCTAACTTCTAGGGGCAGCTCTGATGCTGAATTAGATCTCTGCATATGGTTTAATTGCACCAAACTTTGTAATTTCCTTCTGCACTCTGCAGCTTCTTAGTTGAGACAACTCAGCACAATCCTGTTTACATTAACCAATTTCCATTCATTGCTGTGTTAAGTGATCACTGGCTGCTTATTTAAAGAGAAACTATAGATTAAGAATGGCAAATGTTTCCTAGTGCTACAATTTAAACAACTTAAGCCCCAAAGAAAAAGAAAACAATCCAGTGACCCATAAGACTGAAAGTGATTTCATTTTATTAACAAATTGCATGGTACTCAATCTTCATTATGATATTTAAGAGTCCATCTGTGAAAACAGGTCTTGGGACAAAAAAAAATGTGGTGGTGTGATGTATGGATAAATTTGTTGAAAATGCATATATTTGAACCATGTGATTATTTTAATCGATAGAAATCAATTTCCTATAAATATCTTAAATGCTCCCAACAAAACTTGTACTGGGTAGCTTGAGTTGTCAACTTGACACATTTGGAAAAAACGGGACCTCAACTGGGCCATTGTCTCCATGGAATTATCCTATGGCCTTGCCAGTGAGGCATTTTCTTAATGCTAATTGATGTGGGAGGGCCCAACCTACTAAGACTATGCCGTCTCTAGGCAGGTGGTCTTGTGTTATATAAGAAAGTAGGCTCTAAGCTCAGGCCAGAGGGAGCAAGCCAGCAAGCAGCATTCCTCCATGGTCTCTGCGTCAGTTCCTGTCCTGAGTTCCCGCAGTGACCCAGGAGCTGTAAGCTGGAATAAACCCTTTCCTCCCCAAGTTGTTTTGATCATGGTGTTTCATTACAATAGAAAGCTAACTGGGACAGAAAACAAAACTATCACTTATTAAATGTTTGTACTTTTCCCTATTAATTTGATTTGAAATGATTTTCTAGTGAGAAGAAAGCTGTCTTGGAACAAAATATTCAATGTTTACCTGTGTGTTATTGCTGTAGGTGATAATACAACACACCTATGGAGTGTGAGTGACCAACAGACACTGTCCCCAAGCAGTCTGGCTGCACAGTAAGTTTTTTTTTTCCCTAATTGTGGGTTAACTGTCTGTATAAACAAAACATCTCATAAGCCTAATTTTCTTATCAGCATGGAAAACCATGGAATAGATAATCAAAGGACATTGTTAAAATATAGTGAAGTTGAAATTAATTTGGGGGACATTATTCAATATAATTTGGGTAGCACAGCATTAAAATCTTGTTTTCAGTTCAAAGACTACACAACTAGATCTGATCTGTCATGTCTGATGTGTTACTTTATGTCTATGAGTAGAATCTGGCAAGAGTCTAGTTTTCATATTCTGAAGGCCTTTCTCCATGAAAAATATGTAAGCATCTATCTTGGCCTATTGAACTGCTATAGTAAAATACCTTAGGTCACCTAATAAACAATAGAAATGTATTTTTCACACTTTGGAGCAAGTCTGACATCAAGGTAGGAGCAGAATTGGTATCTGACAAGAGCCTGGATCATGGATAGAATATTTTTTCTGAGACTGATTTTTATAAGGGTATCCCTGCCATTCATAAGAGTTCTGTCCTCAAAGGCCTCAACTTCTAAGATCATCTTGGCAGTCAGAATATCAATATATGAAAATTTAGGGGACACAAACTTTCAGACCATCAGCAATATCCAGGGGTTTTTTTTTTTAATTGTTATTTCTTTGGGTTTTTAAAGAATAAAAATATTTCAAAGCCTAATTAGCATAATGAAAGTGTTATTTGCTTTCAGTGGTATTCAGTGAGGCAAAGCTGATTGTAGATAATTTAATTTTGGACTTCCATTGGGATATGTAAAATCCCAGGATTAGGTGGGGGAAATGACATCAGTAACCATGGTGTCTAAAGATCATAAACGTGAACAGATTTCTGTAGTAACTCTGAATTAGGATAGGGATGCTCCCTGTTAACTGGATGAGATAAACTCTTGTAGTTCAAGGTAAATTTAGAGTAGATGGGCTTGTAGGTAAAGGATCCTTTAGTCTTTAGTCTGATAAATTATACTATTGCAGTTCTCTGACTTTGGTCACCTAAAATGAGTTTTTATGCTAGTGGAGACTTTTGTAAACAAAAGCTAATAGAAAGATGAGGAAAGGTTGAACAATGGTACTAAAATATTTTTAGAGAGGAGCAAGAGGGGCCACTTCCTCTTCTTCCTGTTGCCATCCTCCTCCTCCAGGGTGGCTGACCCAGGCTTCTTATGGAGCAGTTGAATCCTTGGACTGTCTCATGCTAGTCAGGGTGCTGTGTTTCAGACAGTGAGACATTTTAATATACTTTCTAGATAGACATCTTGCATAATAATATTTTTTACAAACCCTTTACGTTCACACAAGTGGGTGCTTATTGCTGATGCCACGTATCTCTATCAGAGCCTGCAGGCATCTGTAGCATTGCCAATATTCAGCACTTCTGTCTTGCAAACTCCTCAGCAAATGTAGCTAGTTGCTGATAGCTAGAAGACAGTTTATTAGAAAGAATTCAATACTTGTAAGATGGTTCTTGTGATGGATGAAATTAAGGGATTTCTCGTCTTTGGATTTCCTTCCCAGTTCCACTTTAAAATAATTACAGCGTGGAAAGAGCGACACAAGATGATAATTTTGATCCAGAGCTTTCTAATGAAAACTACTAATAAACCTGTTCTCACAGAGCCCTCGCTTATTGCTTGTGTGTTCTAAGGTCATTTTAAAACTTACATTTATGTGTATATTTGTTTACACATACATATGTGCACACCAGTGTGTGCATATCCATACCTTACTTTTATTGTAAACACTCTGGTGAAGAAAAAAGTTGTTTGAACTAAGGATCCTAAATTAATGGTTTAAAGGACTCATTGGGTGTTTATGCAAAAACAGTGACACTGTTAGTTTTGAGTATAAAAAATTCATTCTAAAAAATGGCATCAAATGTTCCTTTGAAAGTAAGGGAAAGGTTTTCATGATATTTCTAGAATGTTTCAAGTTCAACTATTCTTTTTTTCTGAGCTTTACAATACCGTGAGTCTCTAGCTCTACTCCATCTGGAAGGTTAGGACATTTTGCTGCTGATCACTGGCCCCTGGTGGAACTGGCTATATACTGTCATATTTATGGAAGAGGAAGGTTAATATTGGGAAGAGTGGGCAAAGGTGAAGACTTGCAGAGGACCGCCTTTGTAGGAACTAGCCTGCATGTACCCACCCCGAGACGCCTCAGTGCCACCTGTCTAATTAATGGTTCTGCAGCTTCCTTGACCTCTTTTATGTATGACTGTATCTACGCAATGAAGTAGAACATGCAAATGCTAAGTATTCTGTGATATAGATACTGTCAGGGTAAGCAAAGAGTGGGCTATAAAATTAAATGTATCTTTCCTTCAAGTTTCTCACAAGAAACAAGTTTATCTGGAAATCTGTGCTTGTTGCTACTATAAAACAAATGGGTTATTCCTCCCCCACCCCAAATAATAGATATATCACCGTATTTATAATTACCTCCACAATCCACTTTTTTTTGACATTTTGTATTCCTAGATCCTGTCTTTTGGTTTATGTTTAGGATCTTCTTTCTAAGATGAATTCCTGTTTCCTTCAACATGCTTAAAGCGGTTATATATTCCAAAATACTAGCTCAAGTTTTTCCTCCCCCCCTCCCTCCCTCCCTCCCTTCCTTCCTTCTCCTCCTTCTCCTCTCCCTCCCTTTCTTTTTTCTTTCTTTCTCTTTCCTTCTTTCTCTTCCTCTCTTTCTCCGTCCTTCCTCCCTTCTTTTATTTCTTTCTCTCTTTCTTGATTTCTATGTTACAGTAGTACTCTGAGAATATTGATCATTATGACCTTGACTTGACTTGCTGATATCATGATGGGTTGTACATGAAACTTGACTACAGGTATACATGACTTGGTATTACATGGTTAACCTATATAATGAAGTTAATATTGTTAGCTATCTCATTACTACTGAGCTTTTAATAGTTATAAAGTGTTTTGGAAATCTACCTGATAGATGATTTCTTTTATTTAACACATGCAAGTTAGTGTAAGCATATACTCTTCTGTCCTTTGTTTATGAATTGATAATGGCATTGGTCACCTACATGGAGGCCTTGATAAATGATGGCACTGTCCACAGATCAATTGTCTAAAGTGACCAAGTAAGGTGTTATCTATAGTCTTTAGTCTCTCTAGTCAAGGAAATACCTAAACGAAAGGACTTTTTGGAGTGGATGCTTTAAAATTTATCTGGAATTTATGAGTTCTATTTTAAGTTATGGTTGACTACGTGCCACTGCATGTTCTACTGCCAAGTTAGAGAGATGCCTTAACATTTACCTTTTTTCTTTTTAAAATTCTTTCAGGACCAGTGTTGTTAGCCCACATCCAAACATCCTGAGGCTTCTTTAATATTAACACATTTTCCTACATTTACTAGATATGCCAGGATGTCTTTCCCACTAGCATTTTGCTACAATGCAAGTTAAATATCTGCCAGAGGTTTTTATTAGCTATTGTGTCTATTGTTCAATATAATTCAAGGTGGATGAACCAAGAGGGCCTTGACATTTATCCTTTGTTCACTATATACAAATGTAACAGTGGACAGTAAGGGAAGAAGTCACAGGGAAGAGATGCAGCCTGGCAGCTAAGGGAACAGAGTGTGTACACACACACACACACACACACACACACACACTCAGAGGTGTGCTACCTTTATACACCTGGGCTTGCTGAAGAGATATATCTGATTTCACAGAGTTTCAGTACCCCAGCCAACAGAACACAATTTAGATGGCTTTGCTTGTGTTTTACATGACCTGATCACATATGGTCTTCTAATTCTGCAGGCTTCTGATCCTGGAGAACTTTGAAGATGCCATCTTAAACATATCATCAAATAGTCCTTATTTCCCTTACTTGGCATGTGTAAGAAATATGACAGATGATTTGGCCAGGGGATCACAAGGTAATAGAGTATTCTCTAACTCTACTATGGTTTCTATGTGTTTTACATGACCTGATCACATATGGTCTTCTAATTCTGCAGGCTTCTGATCCTGGAGAACTTTGAAGATGCCATCTTAAACATATCATCAAATAGTCCTTATTTCCCTTACTTGGCATGTGTAAGAAATATGACAGATGATTTGGCCAGGGGATCACAAGGTAATAGAGTATTCTCTAACTCTACTATGGTTTCTATTTCTGTTCTAAAGTATTAAGAAACTTGCTCATCAAAACAAAAAACTTTTTAAAAAGGAAAGCCTTTTTCATATGTATCAGCTTCAGCTCAGTGATTTAATACTAAAAGTGAATATCTAATCATATTATTATGTTATTATTCTCTTGCTGCTACTAGTGATCCTGGTCACCTGGACAAACTTTAGTAGAATTGTTCCATTCCAGATAATAGGATAAAGGTAATCTGGACAAACTTCCAAGGGTCTGGAGTCACTAGGACCTCACACAAACATTTTTGATATTTTCTGTGTCATCCATGGTCTTAAGCTGTTGAAAGATCAAGAACAATCAAGGTCTGCAAAGCTCACTCAGATTATCCAAATAAGCACTTGTGTGTCGGACTATTTTAGTCCCTGCATTCTCACATTTCATTTTCAGTTTTGTGCCTGTGTGAGCAGCTATGAAGACTGCAATTATATTAAATATTTATTTTCTCATTTTTTAAGAAAAAAATCTCCCATATTTTCAAGAGACATATACATGTTCTTTTATCCTACACCAAAATATATTTTTTAAACTTGATAACAAGCAAACAATACAGTGCATAGTTAAGCCTGGCATTTGTTTGCCAGACATTAATTATGGCAGAAGTATGAACTTACAAGCAGCGATTATACAACCTATTCTTCCCCATACACTTCAACTTGAGGCCTCTCAAAGTCGGAAATAAAAGCTCTATTTAAAAACTGTGTAGCACCTTTACTAGAAATATTTTTATCTCTAAGCAGCATATGTGTGAATATTTTAAAAATAATGAACTCTGTAGTCCACATAGTTCAAGGAAAGGTTAATTTCACTCATTTTATATTTATATGGAACTTTGTTATTATCCTTAAAAATCCTTAGTAATAAATCAGTATAAAGATATCTTTCAGATGTGTTTTCCAGGTAACCTTATGATTCACGCAAAGTAATTCTTCTTCCCTTCTCTACAGAAAATCTAAGGCTTCTGCAGTCCACAATTCGCTTTAGAAAATCTTTTCTTCAAAATGGCACCTATGAAGAACACTTCCCTCCATTTCCTGAAGTCCTGAAATCCAAAGTAAGCCATGAAAGAAAAAATAAATATCAACACTCTCTGTAATACAAGATTAAGGTTAAAATCTGCCTACTGCAAGTGATTTTATTTTAGTTAGCTTTATACTAGAAAAACAGTGACAAAGGTGTCTGATATTATGTAATGATTCTGAATTCTGCTCAGTGGAGGTCTCTCTATAAAATGATCCATAAGAACCTAGTTACAGTATTTTCATGAATCTAAGAATGTCTAATAATAGAGTTGTCTTATTAACTTTTATCATTTGAGAAAGAATTTATAGTACTTCAAATTTGATGTGTCTTTGGTATTTAAGTCTACACAAGTAGATTTCAAAAGCTAATATGATAACTTCACAGTGTATAAAAATTAGCTTTTTATTTTTATTGTTATTATTGTCATCAGAGCAAAAACTAATAAGCCATATTAGAATGTGTGACCCAGAAGAGGGGAAAATGACCAGAAATGTAACTCTCTTAAGTTTGAACCAGTTGATACCCACTTGTCTATTGCTCATATGTATAATATACAGATGATCATGAAATTCCTTTATAAAGCAACTCTATTAAGTTTTGAAAACAGTTTTCCTCATAAGACAAGCAGTTTAATTGGATTTATGTAGTCTTGGATAAAGCTAAATTAGAGCTGGTGTATTCAGGGCAAGCACGATGATTTGCTATGTAACAAACAAGCTATAATTAAGCAGACATGCAAAACACTATGTCCATGTATATTACAAATAAATGTGCTCATTAGATTATCTACCTTTTAGCTCTAGTTATCTCTATGAATCAAAATTTCTAATTTACCTTATCTAGTTCACCTTAATTTGGACAAATGAGAAAGAAATGCATTCACCTAGAAAACTCCTACCTATCCTTCAAGGATAAGTATAAATCCTTCTGTGATATTAGACTATAACCTTTTCTCTTGCTTCCCAGGCATCTGTGTGGTTCCTTAATACTGACTGGTTTGTTTATAAGACAGAATTTCTACCCCCCAAAATGCTAATAATTAATCTAGGAGAGAAGATGGAAAGGCAGAGTAGCAATTGTAACACAGAGAGATAAGCTTTGTGGTATGCAGATGGACAGGGTTCTGTGTGTGAAGATGGGTTATCTAACTCAGATTTCAGGGTGTGGAGGTAGAAGGAAGAAACCTGGTAGAGGAGGTAATACTTACTCCAAGTCTTTGCTGTGTGGGTTTAGATCAGATTCAAGCATTCCAGACATAGACAAGTAGACTCATGTGGAATAGAAGGTTCCTATGGAAAAGGCAGGAGAGAGGCTGCACAGCGAGGCCAAGTCCAAATCCTGAAGACTGTTCTGTTACTCAAAGAGCTTGAATTTTTTCTTGAAAGTAATGAATTTGATTCAGCCAAAGTGTACATTTTAAGAAGAGGTTAGACTGGAAGAAAGTTACATGTGTTATTTCTGAAATAATCTGAGCCAAAAGAGAGAGCCTTCATGGACAATTGGAGAGACAGTTTCAAGTAGAGTTTAAGAGGTCAAGTTGACATGTGGCATCCAAAGAGATGTGAGGCAAGGAACAAAAGCCTCTTATAACTGAGATTTCTGGCCTTTAGAACTCATTGCCTAGCATTATGGTTTGTTGCAGACACAGGATATTTCTCTGATGAAACCATGCCTTTTCATCTATAAAACCTCATAAACTAGCACACACTAGGAGCTTAAGACTTGATTCATGATTGTGTGGACAGGAGAGATTGTTTAAGTACAGCACCAATGATGGTGTTGCATTTGTTTAGCCATTGCTCAGTGCAGAGCTGTGCTTGGGAAGTAATCAGGATGCGTGCAACACACACTGGAAAGGCAAATTGTATATTTGCCATCCATTTATACTGATAGGCTTGGAATGGGGCTAAGAACTTGCATCATCATCCATTATTTGAACATAATACTCCCCTTAAGCATTGCATTATGAAAAAATTTCCAGGAGGTATAGAAAGAAGCTATAGTCCTTTTCCCTTGGGTAGAAAAAATCCATTAAAGTTTGTAACAAACATGGCTATTGAATTGATGAAATCCATTCAGATCTAGAACACACTCTGTGAGGAACATTACCAGGTCTAACCTTTTACAGTCATATCTCCAGCACCTGGCATAACATCCAACATGTGGAACAATTTACTACATGTCCACAGAAGAGTGAAAACAAGCTCCTACAGTTTGCTAAGTGGGGAGGCTGTTACTTCCTACTTTTCCCAATGGGCATACTCAGCATGACAGCCATTTAGGGTCCACACATGCCCCCATTTTATTCATTCCTTAGCCAGCAGGTTCAACCTTCCAAAATGCCAAGCGCCTATTCATTGGCGACTTTTCCTTCCGGTTCCAGCTTTTTGCTACAGCCTATTCAGTCTGTTCTTGTGTTTCTGATTTTTCTTCCTCTCATTGTCTGTTGTGTTACCTCTTTTTCTCTCTAGTTCCTTTGATGGGAAAGAGAACTTCTGATTGCACAAAATAAATGTTTCCCACATTGGGCATAAATACATATAATTTAAAACATATAAAGGTGTTTTTTTAAACACCTTTAAATTTGAAAGAGACCCATGTCCTCTGTTTATCTACCAAGAGTGCAGAAGTGTCTCAGCTTTCTCATTTTATGTCCATGATATTTTAGAGTTTTTATGATCATGTTAATTACAATTCTCATTCAGATGCATCTGGGAGCACTGAGCAATGGGGAAGTCCATCATAGCTGGAAATGGAGTTAGTTATGAATCATTGTCCAATTATATGCCTGAACCTCTGCTTGTGATGAAGGAGGCAGGACATTTATGTGGGGCTTTGGAATATCTGTAATCTAAAGTTGGTCTATATATTAAGATGGGGTCTCACTCTCTAGCTAGGTTGGCCTGGAATTTATTATGTAGCCCAAGCTGGCCTTAAACCCATAATCCTGTTTCTTCTCCCTGAGTGCTGAATTACAAGTTTGTACCACCATGCCTGGCTTCACAAACAAATACTGTGTGTGTGTGTGTGTGTATGTTGGGTTGCATGCATGTGAGCCTGTGGGCTCCCGCACCCATGTGTGCACATGTGGAGGCCAAAGCAGAATATCACATGTCTTCTTCTATAGCTCTCTACCGTGCTGCCTTAAGATAGGGTCTCTCTTGGGCTAGAGAGATGGCTCAGCAGTTAAGAGCACTGGTTGTTCTTGCAGAAGACCCAGGTTTGAATCCTTGCGCCCACATGGCAGCTAATAACCATCTGTAACTCCAGTTCCAGGGGATCTGATATCCTTTTCTGTCCTCCGCGGGCATTGCAAGACATAGGTGCACTTACATGCAGGCATAACATTCATGCACATAAAATGAAAAAAAAAAAAAGAAAAAAAAGATAGGGTCTCTCACTGAACTGGAAGCTAGCCACCGAGCTCTTGGGGTCTACCTACCTCCAATCCCTTGTGCTGAGGTTGCAGACATGTACAACCATGCCTGGCTTTTTAATATGTGTGTTGGAGAGTCAAACTCAGATCCTCATGCTTACAGAATAAGTGCTCTTACCCATGGAGCCTTCCCTAAACCCAACTAATGAATACTTTAAAAGAGTGAATTATGATCACGGAATTTGTTTATTGTTAATGATCAATGAAGCTTCTGAAAGTGCAATACCTATGTTGTTCTTAAACTAAAGTAGTAAATTACAGTAAGTGCTGAGAGCCCTAATGTGACTCCTTAGTGTCGTGATTTTCATGCATCCCATAATATTGATCCTGATTTACGTTCTTACATCAGAGAACCAATCCAACATTAGCAGTGTAGTTAAATTTCAGATTTAACTCCTTCTATAACTTTTTCTCATCCATCACAGAATATATGGACTTTTACTGGTTTCCCATACATGGATGTCAAATTGTGATTAAAATATTTTTCATTTATACTGGGGTAAAAGTCATTAACATTTACTACCTCTCAAAACTCAGTTATAAATGTATTGATCCAACACTACTTATCCTTTTATTTAAGAATGTCTCAACACAGGCAGTGGAAGATGCTATGTAGAGGTCTGGCTCCATTCATTAGAGATTTAAACATATCTGGGGGGCTGAAGAGATGACTCGGCAGTTAAGAGCATGTGCTGCTGTTGCAGGGAACCCAAGTTCTGTACCCGGTACTCACATCATGTAGCCACCTGTAACTCCAGCTCCAGGGGATCCTAGACCCTCTTCTGGCCTCTATGGGCACCTGCACTCACATGTGCACCTACTTACACACAGATGTACATGCATATGCATAATTTAAAAAATTTTAAAAAGCTTAAACATATCTGGTATTTGAAAAATCAAACTCAGAAACAGCATGGCAGCTTGCAAAATGACTAATCTATTCCAGTATCAAAAAAAATTCCATAGCAATAAGTAGAATTTTCATGCATACGAAGTCATTTTAGAATATTCAAAGTCAATTATATTAGTCAGTACAGTGGAAAATAGGTCAGTGATATTTGCTCTTTAGGATGGTCAATGATTAATTTCTGTGACCTTCATGTGCTTACTGGAAACCTCTAATTAAAGACATATAACCATTTTTCCTTCACGGATATGTGGAAAGAAATGCTCCCAAACCTATGCCCCTAGTGTGAAATAGTTCATTTCCATTAAAACATAATTTCTGATTGGAAACTGAGCTACAGTGAACGACACATACATTTGCTTCTTTAAACAGTTTCATTTTTTTCCTTCGTAAAAAGAATAGCTCTAGGGTAGCTTCCATGCACAACAGAGCTGGTTTTTCCCAGAGGCAAATTCTTCTTTTCTTCGGATGTTTTCGTTGGGAACATATCCTCAGGATATGCAGAACATAGTGAACAGAGTAGAGAAGTATATTTGATAGCTTAGATCATTAGATTGCCAGGTTCCTTTCTTATTCTGGGTTTGGGATTGTTAAATCTCTGAACATTTCCATAGTACAAAACATTTCCCTTTTTAAATCGAGAACAGGGAAGAAAAGAATGTTAATAACAAGGCAGATACTTCTGAAAATCAGGCTCATTGCCATGATCTTACTAGAATGCATGCCACAGCTTAAGACTTTAATTTTTTGTTAATTAATTTTTAATCTTCATAACATGATATTTATATCATAACCATTTCTAGCTGAAGGGTTCATTTACATTAATAGAATTCACATTGTTGTGCAACCAACCTCCAGAATACTTTTTATCATGTAAAATTAAAACTGTATGAACTTTTCATTTTTCCCGCCCTTCAGCCTCTGGGTGCTCATGATTTCTTTCTGACTTTCTGTTTAATGGAA